TTATAAAAACTTCAATTAAATTTCAATAAAGTTAAAAACATAAGCTTATTATTAATATTTTAAAAAAATATATATATATATTTTTTTACAAATTTTTTTTTTTTTTTTTGAACTTTGGTAACAATGCCAATTGGTTTATTAGCTTTAATTTGATATAGTACAAATTTATAATTATATTTTTAGGATTAATTATTACTAGTACTATATACTATCTAATTTTATACTACTGACTTCACTTGGTTACCTATATGGCACCTATAAGCATGTTTGCTGCATGCCTGTATACAGTTATCTTAACAACTACTTGTAGTCAGGGCATATTGTTAAACTACTACACAGACAAGGATATCTACTGAACTTAATACAGTATTCCAAATGCCAGAGGTATTGTTTTCTGTAAATTGTATTTATATATCCCACTCACATGTTTTATCTGGTCTTGTTTCTTCTGCCTCTTAATCTAACTATATCTAGTATTACCTTGTTTCCACATTTCTCACCTTTATGTTACTGTACTACTTCCCAATTGGTTCTACTCAGGTATATTTAATTCTTATAATCTTTCTATCTTTGGTATATCTGTTATTGATTCCCCTAAGGTGTTTTGACAATGGTCTAGAATCTGCAAAGAACTCATATCTCAAGTCAGATCTGCTGCTACTATTGGTTTTTTTGACTAATTTATATTTTAAGCCAGGTTTGCTGCCATCATTTCTGCAGATGCCTTAGGTCTTAATGTTATACAGTAACTTAATGCTGCATTTAACCTTCAACATAGTGCTCTCTTCTATGCTGAGAAGTAAGATATGTTGTACTTACAAACAGAACAATTCTGGTTATACCTAGAGAGTTTTTCCAACCTCAGTGATACCATATTACTATATATTGCAAGCTTCCAGTTTATTTGATAATACCTGCAGTACAATTCTGGTTATGCCCTAGGAAGTTACACCAACCTCAGTAATGCTATACTATCTTGCAAATCTTATCTTATATTGGTTGGTTGATCTCAGTCTTGGTTGTCATAGACTTCTATATAGATATAACCAGAAATCTGATTTGGTACTTTTATATTGCACAAAAAAGTCATATGCCAATCTTCAAGACTTTTTTCTTCTATAATTAGATTATTCAGCTGTGCCAAAGGTGCTTTCAATTTTTGGTTAGACCAATCCTTTATCACAATCCATCCTCATGTTCATCACTTCTCTTACTATTTCAGTCTTGGTTACTTTCAGAATACTCTCCTAATTAAATCCTTTTCTTGAATCCTAATTAAGACTTATTTGCACAATTTGTTTATTATCCTTCTAAGCAAGTACCTCACAAGTTAGATACAGGGATGTTGGTACTGCCTATATTAGGAGGTATAAGGATGTTGGTGCTGTCCTAGCCTAAAGAACTTATATGTGCAATCTTTTTATAACTGTAACCTTCTGTAACAACTGCTTGTTACACATAGTGCCTGCACTCCACAATTAGGTCTTCTTCCAGAAATTTCTATTTCCATTATTGTACTGTACTTGGACTTAACCACAGGGCTTCATATTCAATTACAGACTCCTTATTAGGTTACAGAAGCTAAAATCTTTCAATTTTGCCTCCAGCCAAACTTGAACTGTTAATCTTAACTATAAAGAGTATGGGAGCTTAACTGCTAAGCTATGGGACCCACATCCTATTTTTTTTATAAATTTAAATATAAAAAAGAATTACTATTAAGTTTATATATAATTTTAAAATAATATACTTTACTCTTAATTCCAAAATAATCTTTTAAAAATATCAAATTATTACAATAATGTTCAATACAATTTATATCTCTTTAACATTTACAACTTTCTAATAAAATTACAAACAAACTATTAATCTTGAATACAAAACACAAAAAAGCAAATATTATCTTGTACAAAATATCAATATTTATGAAATCCAAGCACTTTAAAACATATATACAAAATTATACAAGCCAGTTCTGCAAACTAAATTCTCTTAATTTAAATACAATACTTAATTCTGCATATTAAAATTAACTTATAGATCTACACAAAAAAATACTATATATTAACTTAAACAATATTCATTTCTATACTGATGCCTTAATAATAAACTTACAAATATTCAACATCTCTACTGGTATTGCTTATATTTTCAAAAATAATATACAAATTAAATTTAATATATCTATATCCTATGCACTAAAACTCTACAAAAGTAGAACTAGTAGCTCTTATTCTTTTTTTTCTTATCTTATTTTCTAATTACCAAATTTATATTTATTTTGATAGTTTATTACTAGGTATTGAAAACCAATAAGGTTCGAAGCAAACTATTTTTAATAATCTATATAATACAATTATACAAATATACAAAAACAAACAAATTTTATATAATTTAAAATAGTAATAAACTTATACAAAAAGATTTTTAAATTTTCAAATCAGAATATATTAGAATTCTGATTTAATAGTTCAAAATTAACCAATATTATACAAAATTTTACTAATAAAGTTATTTAAATAGATGTTTTTTTTATTAATAAATAGATTAATTATATATTTAAGATATCTTTATATTAAAAAAATTCCGAATTTTAATTTTAAAACTTTAGAATTGTAATATATACAACCTTTTTTATATATTTTATATAAAAAAAATAATATAATTTTATATTACAAATTTTTACTTTGAAGTCAAAACTAGTTAGTATAATAAAATTTTGCTATTGCAATATTTTGCAAAATTTTAAGTTTTTTTTGTTTGCTTTATTATATAATATTTTGCAATATTATTAGTTCCAGACTCAAATTAAAATTAGAAATAATCTGCAACCCTAGATTAAAATGGACTAGAATTGATAATTTTGCTCAAAATTAATTAAAATTTTACTATTAAAGCAACAGCCCACTTGCTAAATAAAGTTGTTTAGATGATAATTTTGTTATAATATAGTTGACTAGTATTATTGCTTAGTGCTGGCCTAGCTCTAATAAAATTAACAGAACTTAAAATGCTAGTTTAAAAATTTTAATAGCCAATCAATTTCGAGATCAAGTGTAATCAAGATTGGCAATAAAGTCAATAAAGTGCCATTGAATAATATCATTTCATATAATATTGAACTTTACTGCCAACCTTGAGTGTGATGTAACAAAAATAACTCAATTTTGACTATAAAACTGCCTTTAGTGTATTAACAAGTTTTTTTTGTAAAATTTTCATATAATTATAACTCTAATCTAATATCAACTTGTTTTTTTAGTAACATAATATGTTAAATTTTTTAGACTATGTTATAATCTGATCTGCTGAATTTTGGTTACACTATAATCTAATCTTTATTTTGGTCAAATCACTTTAAGAATATAGCATTTCACAAATGAAAAACAAAAATTCAAGCATTAACACTTACTATTATGCAAAAAAAAAAACTAAAAGAAACTATATTATAGAAGTATCTTACTTAAAAGATGAAATTTATATCATATATTATAATCAAGCTATACTGAAAACTATTAACTTGTTGAATAAAATAACTAGTAATTTTTTTTTAAAATCTCTTACTAAGCTACATACTGTACAAGACATTCAGAATACAAAAAATGCTTAATACATGAAAACAGAGTTACTTTACAATAAAAAATGATTAAAACTTTAAGACTTTAAAAGTGTTGATAATATTACTATCTTCAAACAATTAGTATTTTAAAATACAACTTGATTGGTTAATTGTCACAAGTTAGACAAGATGACTGATTATAAATAGTTATCAGACAGGCACTGCCAGATAAAGGGTTTATTTGGTGGCTTATTATAATTTTTTGTCCAATAATAAAATTATTAAGCAGATGCAAAGTTTAAACTATTTTAAACTATTTTAAACTTTTGTTTTTTCCTAATAATAAAATTATTGGACAGATAAATTCTAGTAAACTGCTAGATAATAGAGTTATTCAATTTCATATAATCAACCAATCACAAAAAAATTAATATATTAATTGATATACAGATATAATGATTATGATTTAAATATATAAATCATTAAATCAGTTTCTACTTTCATGTACTCATTTAAGAGAGGAATGTCAATGTTACATGACTGATTCTTCATACAGTGTTAACATATAAAAAAATTATTTTACAATATTAGATTATTTATTTTTATTATAATAAAACAGTATTGAAAACATATAATAGTAATATTGTAAAATATTTTTTATATATTGCATTATGTGAAGGATCAGTTATGTAACATCACATTTTCTCCTACTTGTATAACTTACCTCATTGTTATATCTAGATTTTTTTATTATTTCAAAGTTAGCATTTGGATGAAATTTAAATATTAGTTATGATAAAGAATTTTTTATTAATATGGAAAAAAAGGTATAAAATCTAATAATTTGATGAAATTTCATATCACAAAAGGGTTAGCAGCTAAATTTTCTTTTGCTTTATTCTTTTTATGAATGTAAAATAATAACAATTACTATTTGCTGATATACAAAATTTTCAAAATTCATAAGTCTGATTTGAGAAATTATAGAACTTAGTTATTCTTCCTTAGCTATTCTTTCTTGTAGCTTTTTGCAAGTTTTGATATATTGAAGTCTATCAAGTAAAAATGGTCTAAAAAGGATATTTCTGAGAACACAGACTCAGACAATTGCTACAAATGAAATGCTAGCAGCATACTTCTTTTTTCTGGGATCTATTATAGCCTTTTGTAATGTTAACCCTTGGCTCTTATATATAGTAATAGCCCATGCAAAAATGACAGAAAACTGCATTTATAAGCAAATTCATTTTTTTCCTTTCTAGGTATATCTAATGAATAAAATTAGGATGAGTTTTTTACCTTTTGTAGTTATAATAGCAGAACTAGTATAATTATCAAATTCTATTAGAAGTGCAATGAAAAAAAAGAGTAGGCCTTAATTTTCTTCAAATATGATTTCTTGAACAATGCCTATTAAGCCATTCACTAATTCTACTTCTGTTTATAAGTTAGTCCTAAGCATAACATGTGCACTCCTTGCTAAAAATAATTGTGTCTCAAGGCCTTTTGCTGTATTATAATCAGCTTTACATGCTTCATTGCCATCTGTGTGAATGGCATTAATTCTAGCAATAGGGCAGTTCAAAGATTTGAGTTTGTTAATGTTAAATTCATTAACATTGATTTTTTGGAGAAAAATATATATGGCATCTAAGAAATAATCTTGTTCTAAAAATAAAATAGTTGGTAAATTAATAAATTATACAGCAAGTACTTTCCAATTAGCTACTGTAGATTCACTATTATGTAGTTGCAATAGAATATCTCTGAAATTATGTTGCTCTTCTGAATCTCCTGATTGACGTTAAACCATATCAAGTTTATATGCCTCTTGGAATTGTTTATATATAGTAATACTGTTGTTTAATAATGAATTATGTTAGAAGGTTTGCAAGTATATAGGCTCATTAAGCACTAGAGGAAGTTGACCAATATTGTCAACAAAAATGACTAACTAATTACCAAAGTGCTGATTTTTATGTTCAGAAAATGCTTGGTATAGTCACATATTAACTAAAGCAAACATTTGACATCTAACTATACTTTTTTCATTAATAATGAAATAGTTCATACTATTTAGTCTTTTCTGTAGTTGTTTCAATTGTTTACTGTCTATATCTAAATTAGTACTTCCTATTGGAATTGAGAGTGCTGAATGGATTGTTGTTCTATAAATGTTGAATGCTACAACTCCAGTTGGTGCAAATACAAGCACAAGTGATTGGATATTGATATTATAAATTCTTGCCATTTTTTGAAAATGATCTTGAATAATTTTAATTAGATATGATTTTTCTGTTTCTGCAGTTCTTATTATAATAAGTCTAAGCAGTTCAACTTGGCTAGGATTTACAATTAGTTACTATAATGAGACTTAATTTACTTGAATATTGCCAATTGTTTCTTATTTAAAGTATGTGAATCTTCAATGCAATTAGTGACTGAGTTCTTATTATTAATAGTGCCAAAAGTGCAAGCTTGTTGTATAAAGTTAGTTATGTTTGCAAAAATAAGATCAAAATGGTGCCATCTAACATTGCCAACTCAATCATAATTTTAATCAATATCATGTGAACCCAACCCAGAAGAATTCTTAATAATTACATTTGGTCCCATCTCTGATAGAATCATCTACTCAAGTCACATCTCTCTTTCTTGTTCATCACCTTGTTCATCATCATTTTCTTCACTAACAAACTTATTTTCCAAGTTATCTACAAAGAGACCAAATAAATTAGTATGCATATTTTCAATTTCTGCATGATGCTTATTAAAGAGGTCTAACCATGAATCAGTTTTATTTTCAGTTAATTGATTAAGATTTCTATAACAAACATGAAGCAGAACCTTTATATGACAAAATTCTTTCTATTGAGGACTATTATGCTCAGGTGATGGTCATAACCAAATTCGTACTATATTTTTACACTTGCATTTTTTTTACTAATTGTTTCAAAAATTATATTTTAGTAAAACTAAAAGAATGAAAGGTCTTCAAGTTCAATAGGTTGACTCCAATACTTTTACAGAGGTGATCATACAGTTTGCTCAACTTTACTATTTACTGAAAAGTTTTCTTCATTCATATATTCAGTACCATAAAGCCATCACAGAGCGAGCCTCTTTATTAAGATTCAAAGTAACAAATTGACAGCTTGACTGGTAGAGGAGAATACTGAAAAGGAGATGGCATGTCTCTTAAGTAGAAATATTATGCTCTGCAATAGTATGAAGCAATAATTTCTAAAACATGCCAAGTGATAAATTACTAGGTTTATTATTATTAAGAATCTGATTTAATATATCTAAAAAAGCACCAGACCCGGTCAGACCTAACGTACAGGGCAGACTATGGTACCTTGCACAGCTGTGAGAGCCGAGCATACGGTGATCGACCCTGTAGAAGACAAT